TCTCAGAGTCATTTTGATTTGCATTTCCCTGATGATTAAATATGTTGAGCAATTCCTTAAATGTCTTTCAGCCATTTGAGATTCTTCTGTTGAGAATTCACTGTTTAGCTTTATAGCCCATTTTTAATTGGACTCTTGGGTATTTTGATGTCTAAATTTTCAAGTTCTTTATATATTCTGGATATCAACTCTCTGTCAAATGTGGGGTTGGTGAAGATCTTTTCCCATTCTTTAGGCTGTCGTTTTGTCTTATGGACTGTGTCCTTTGCCCTACAAAGCTTCTCAGTTTCAAGAGGTCCCATTTATTAAAGGTTGCTCTCAGTGTCTTTGCTACTGGTGTTATATTTAGGAAGTGATCTCCTAGGCCAATGAGTTCAAGACTAATTCCTACTTTCTCTTCTATAAGGTTTAGAGTAGCTGAATTAATGTTGAGGTCTTTGATCTACTTGGACATAAGTTTTGTGCATGGTGACAGATATGAATCTATCTGCAGTCATTTTGACATCCAGTTATGCCAGCATCATTTGCTGAAGATGCTTTCTTTTTGAATTGTACAGTTTTGGCTTCTTTGCAAAAAATCACATGTTCATAGGTGTGCGGATTAATGTCACAGTCTTCACTTCGGTTACATTAGTCCACATGTCCGTTTTTATGCCAGTATCAAGCTGTTTTTATAACTGTAGCTCTATAATAGAGCTTGAAGTAAGGGATCATGATGCCTCCAGAGGTTGTTTTATTGTACAGGGTTCTTTAAGCTATTCTGGGTTTTTTGTTTTTCCATATAAAGTTAAGTATTATCCTTCCCAGGTCTGTGAAGAATTGTGTTGGGATTTTGTTGGGGATTGCATTGAATCTGTAGATTGCTTTGGGTAAGATTGCCATTTAACTATGTTAATCCTACCTATCCATGTGTAAGGGAGACCTTTCCATTTTCTGACATTTTCTTCAATTTCTTTCTTCAGGGACTTAAAGTTCTTTTCATACAGGTCCTAGGCTTGCTTATTTAGAGTTACACCACGGTATTTTATATCATTTTTCATTTTTGGAAATTGTAAAAGGTGATGTTTCTCTGATTTCTTTCTCAGTCCATTTGTCATTTGTATATAGGAGGGCTACTTTTTTTTTAGTTAATCTTGTATCGTGCTATATTATTGAAGGTGTTTATAAGCTGTATGAATGCCTTGGTCAAATTTTGGGGGTCACTTATGTATACTATAATGTCTTCTGCAAATAGTGAAATCTTGACTTCTTCCTTTCCAGTTTGTATCCCCTTGATATCGTTATGTTGTATTATTGCTCTGACTAGAACTTCAAGTATTATATTGAATAGGTATGTGGAGAGCAGACAGTTTCCATGAGATTAATAGAACAGAGGAGGGTATTCCAATTGTATTGTATTGTATCAGTTGAGATTTGCTTTGTGGCCGAGTATGTGGTTGATTATAGGGAAGGTTCCATAGGGTGCTGAGAAGAAGGTATATTCTTTTTTGTTAGAATGGAATGTTCAGTAGATATTGATTAAGTCCATTTGAGTCATAAAACAGCTAAGTCCCTTATTTCTCTGTTTAGTTTTGATTTAGCACATCTGTCCAGTAGTCAGGTGTTGAGGTCTCCCACTATTAATGAATGTGGTTTTATGTGTGATTTAAGCTTTAGTAATGTTTCTTTTACATATGTGGGTGCCCTTGTGTTTGGGGCATAAATGTTCAAAATTGAAACTTCATCTTGGTGGATCTTTCCTATGAAGAGTATGTAATGCTCTTCTTGATCTATTTTGATTGATATTAGTTTGAAATCTATTTTGCTGGGTATTAAGATGTCTACACAGCTTGCTTCTTAAGACCATTTGATTGGAAAGACTTTTCCCAGGATTTTATTCTGAGATAATAACTATCTTTGAAATTGAGGTGTGTTTTTGTATGCAGCAGAAAGATGGGCCCTGCTTTCCTATCCATTCTGTAAGCCTGTGTCTTTTTATAGGTGAATTAATCCATTGATATTAATGGATATTAATGACCAGTGATTGTTCATTCCTATTATTTTTTTTTTGGTGGTAGTGTGTGTACTTCACTTCTTTGGGGTTACTGTTGTGAGGTTATCTATTGCCTGTGTTTTTGCGGTGTATCTGACTTCCATAGATAGGAATTTTTTAAGTGCTTTCTGTAGTGCTGGATTTGTGGATAGGTATTGTTTAAATCTGGTTTTGTCTTGGAATGTCTTGTTCACTCCATCTATGATGACTGAAAGTTTTGCTGGGTATATTAGTCTAGGCTGGCATCCATGGTCTCTTAGTGTCTGCATTGCATCTGTCCCAGTCCTTCTGGCTTTCAAAATCTTCATTGAGAAATCGGGTGTTATTCTGGTGGGTTTGCCTTTATAAGTCACTTGGTCTTTTTCCTTATTCCTGCTCTTAATATTCTTTCTTTATTCTGTACATTTAGTTTTTCATTATTATGTGGCAAAGAGACTTTTTTAGAGAGTCTAGTCTGTTTTGTGTTCTATAGCCTTCTTTTATCTTCATAGGTATTTCCTTCTTTAAGTTGGGCAAGCTTTCTCCTATGATCTTGTTGAATATATCTTCTGTGCCTTTGAGTTGGTATTCTCCTTCCTCTATCCCCATTATTTGTAGGTTTGGTCTTTTCATGGTGTTCCACCTTTCTTGAACATTTTTTGTTATGACTTTTTTGGCTTTGGTATTTTCTTTGACTGACGAATCTATTTCCTCTATTGTATCCTCTACACCAAAAATTCTTTGTTCCACCTCTTGTATTCTCTTGGTTATGCTTGGATCTGTGTTTCCTGATCAATTACTCAGATTTTTTATTTCTAGCACTGCTTCTGTTTGTGTCTTCTTCATTGTTTCTATTTCTCTTTTCAATTCTTGAACTGTTTCCCTCACCTGTTTAATTGGTTGTTCGTGATTTTATTTAAGGGATTTATTGTTCTCTTCCAATTTTTTATTTGTCTTTTCCTTGATTTCTTTATAGACTTCTTCCAATTTTTTATTTCTTTTAGTCAAATTCTTTATTGATTTCTTCCACATTTTTGTTAATCTCTTCCTCAATTTCATTTTTTCTTGAAAAGCCTCTAGCATCTTCATGATATTATTCTTAATGTTGTTTTCTTCTGCTTCTTCTACCTTGTGATGTTCAGGTCTTGCTTTTGGATGAGGGCTTCGTTCTGGTAATGTTGTATTGCTCTTTATGTTGTTGTATGTACTTCTGCCTTGACATTGGCCCATCTCTTCCTCTAATGTGTATAAGAGGGCCCTGTGTCTTAGCGAGTTGTTGTTGGTCCACTCTGTGCTTGTTGTGTCTGTGGCTCAGGGAGCCATCTCAGCCCCATCTTAGCTCTTGGTCTAATTGGAGCAGGCAGATTCTGTGTCTTGGGGAGCTTCTCTTGGGTCAACCCAAGCTAGTTGATTCTATGGCTCACTGATCCACTCTTGGTCCAGTCACAGTTGACAGATTCTGTGTTTCAGGAAGCCTCTCTTGGTCCACTGAGAGGTGGCAGATTCTACTTCTCCAAAAGCTACTCTTGTTCTGATGAGGGCTGACAGATTTCCTGTCTCCTGAGGTTACTCTTGGTCCACTGACAGCTCTTTGTCCAATGAGAGCTCTCTCTAGGCCTGATGATAGCTGGGGTTGTTTTCCTAGCCTCAGAAATTTGCTGGGGTATCTGGACAATGGGTATGGGGACAGGGCATGTAGATTGCAGGGTCCACTGGGAGGTCTTTTTGAGGGAAGGGCTTTCCTGCAGGAGCCTTGCCTACTGGCCAGCAACTGGTGCCTAGTTGGGCCAGTGTTCCCAGGGGAAATGGTTGGGGCCTGGAATGGATGCTAGGGGCAGGGCTCACTGGTTATGAAGAGTCACTCACCTCTAGGACCAATGAGAGCTGTCAGAAAGTTTGAATTGGATACCTTAAAACCACCCACATCAGAATGCATTCCTATAATATACCTTAGGTTCATAGAAGTATACATCATTTACAAATTTCCAAAGCTATTTCTTTTACTACCAATAATACATCATCCCCACACAGATGAGGAAAATAGGCACACCCTTGTTTGTTTGAGAGAATTATAAAGAACTAATGGGACCAAGAAAAGTTCCTCTATTGAGTATTTTTTTTACAGAACATGCTTTTTTAGGCTGGAGAATTGGCTCAACTGTCTATAACAATTACTGCTCATATACAGGGTTCAAGTATGACTTTCAGCACCCACTTGGTGACCCTGAACTGTCTCCACCACCCAGAGATTCAAGCCATTGTTTTGGCATCCATATACACCAGGCATACCAGTGTTGCAGAGACATATATGCAGACAAGACATCCATACACATTTAACAGTAAAAAGGGGAAAAGAAAAAGAGAGACAGAGAGACAGAGGGAAGAATGAAAGAAAGAAATAAACAAAGAAACAAGGTAAGAAAGGAAAAACAAAGTTATAATTCATAGGGTATCTAAATGGGCCATGAAAACATTATCTTAATATTTGGTTAGCAATATTGGCAATTTAGGACCTGTTGGTACAAAGGCTTAAAACAAATTTTTCAAAAATAATTAATGGTTTGCATGTGTTTACTTTACTCCTTCTTATATTTACCTTCAGTCTTTCAGCATCTATGTCAATGGTTCAGCAGAAAAAAGGACAAGAACTGTATAGTAATCAGAATGGTATCAAGAGGATATTCATGCCTTACTGGAAATGATATAGTAGAGTGAAAGCTATTAATTTTCTTTTTGTAATAAAAACAAGAAACATGTTCTGGAATGATTGAAAAATCACTGTATACATGGTATGCATGTCTGAGAACCTCAAAGAATTAACAAAATGTCACATCAAGAACTGAAAAGAAGAAACATAAAGAGGGAGGCTGGAAAATGCTTCTTAATGTGACAGTCTATTCAATGCATCAGTTACAAGGCAGCACAAATGGACCCACTTGACAGTGATAAAGCTGTATGACAGAAATAATTACAGTTAGGTCAGACCCACCTGTCTACTTCCTGTGGCCCACTCTATCATGTCTTCATATAAATGGAGCTGTTGACCATGTGGAAAATATGGACTATACTCTCCTATCTTCACCTTGAGTCCAAATCCATTTGGGAAAGTCCAAATCTGGAAAATGTCATACTCTGCCTGTAGGTTTTCTCTCTGGTTCATATTCACTTTTTCTCCAACAGGATTAGTGAAATGAGTCTTCCTCAGAAAGGAGTGCAGCTGAAAGAGAGGCAGCATTCTATAATGTGTGTGCCCTTCCTTGATGTCAGAAAGCATATACTGATTTCATCTTAAAGGCAGCATTATTGAAGGAATCCATGAGAGAAATATAATAAGAGAAATAAAAGCAAGTAGATAAAAAAGTTTCATAACATTCTTAGAATTTAAATTCTTTCAGAGGAAACTACCAAAGAGTAACCCAGACATACATGCAGACACAAAATTTGGTAAAAATGCAGAGAGACAGAGAGAGAGACTCAAATCAATACAGACATATGTACATAATATAGATACATACAATATACACACATGTATATGTGTCAGACACACACAACAAAATATAAGAAACAGACAGTCATACTAACCCAAACAGACACACAGAAACAGAAACCTGAAAAACACAGAGGCTCACACACAAATGTGCACATTTATAGACAAATACACACGGGAGACATACACATATTGAAACACCCACACCGAAAATATTGACATATACAAATTTATGCTCACAATAAAAGTTTGACAGACAGACAGACACACACACACAACAACAACAACACACACACAGAAAAACAGATATTCATATGTGAAAGCAGATACACAAAACATGCAGTAGTGACATGCAGTTGAACTGAAAAACACAGAAAATATACATAAAACAAACACACATACACAAAGACATTGACAAAAGATAAATTTATGCTCAGTTCCACAGATAGATATGCAGATAGACAGATATACACAATATACGTAGCAATGCAGATATACACACAGATACACAGAAAAAAAAGAATCATTCTCCCATACACAGTGAGAACAATTCATTCACACACATGGACATATGTATGTCCAGAAATAAATAACGACACCACTGTTACACAGTAATTCCTGTGGAATTACTCACAGTATGCTAAACAAGGTCCCTTTGTAGAGAGCCTACACTAGGGCAGAATCAGTTGAGAACACTTGTGAAAACCATCTCATACAAGGATTACCACATGTTTGAAAATCGATGAACAAGGGCTCATCTTCTTATCATGAAGAGGATTAACGAGGAAGGACTGCTATATTTCCAGTAATAGAAGAAGTGAAATGATGTTCAGGTGTTCTGTAAATATGTTACTGATATTCCTTGATAAATTGTGTCCTCAACTCCATTGCTTTGACATTAATATTTATATCAGACTCTAGATTTAATTCCTTACCGGGAAATAAATTCAAAATATTCCTATTTTGATTAAATATTTGCTCTTCCAGTAAATTGGGGCATCTGACAGAATCTTAAAGACTATGTTTTTGACACAATTTTATCCAACAGAAAAAACACTACCTTCAAGCAGTTACCATAGTGTTCATTCCCATTATACACATGTTGAAGAACCATCTCATGGACAGCATGGACTGCAGTATACACAGCATTATACATGTCATAACTGTCATCACTAAAGGCCATGTCAATAGTCTGTCCCATTAGAAATTGTAATGAGGCATTGGATGAACAATTCTTCAGTGTCTTACACTTAGAAGCTGAGACCTCACAGTTAAAGTTCATCCATCCCAGCTTTGAAAGGTATTCATCTGTGTATTTCAGAGGGTTCAATGTCTGGACAAATGTTTTGAAACCAGAAATCTCAGAATGGTGGTGTGTAAAAGCTAGTATCCCATGGGATGAGCCAATTGTAGAGTCTCTCTTACTTGTAGTGACATCCCACTGTGATGTGGTCAAAAATATTCTGTGTATACCTAGAGATTCCCACATTTTAAAGCTCACAGCTAGAGTACTGTCTATGTCACCATAAATGATAACTACATTTGCAGATGATGTTATGATTTGGTTATAATACACTTCAGCTCTTGACATATATAAATGCATGTTGGCTGGGATCATGCTTACAAAGGCAAAGCAGACTATATTTTTCTCCATCTCAGTTCTCAAATGTGAGAGAAATTGTGTACCCTGGTCATTGTCAGAGATGGCCAGTCCTATCCAGTTCCAGTTGAAGTGAAGCACCAAAGAGACCATTGCCAGGGGTAGTGCTGTGTCCTTGGGGGCCATCTGATATAGATATGGAAATTTTTCATGATCACTCAGGATAGGATGGAAAGGTCCATAGGTAAGCTGAAGGATCTAGGACACAGGGAGCAGCATGAGGTAGCATGCACTTCTAAGACCCTGTAAACACACTTTCAGCAAAGAGTTGTATAAAAACTTCTTACCTATTATTTTTCCCTCATCTCAACTACAAAAAAAGAAATGAAGCCACATCAAGTCTCTGAATAGTAATCTTGAACCACACTGTTTCACATAATTCAACACACTCTTCTTAGCATCTTGATTGTTCCAACAGAGTCACAATTTCTTGCAAACCACACCACAAAAATCTCACCTGTTGAGATCTGTAGGGGTCCAGAAATGTCCCAACCAGAGCCGATGTTTCCCAATTTGGTCCTGTCAGCACCACTAAACAAGTATGCTCTTCATTACACTCATAATTAGGGTAATATTCTTGATTTTCTTCAGTTAAAGGCAAGAGACTGAATAATTTTGAAACAGTCTTACAAACATCTTTGGACCAATGAAATACTAATGACATATTTGGCAAAAGATCAGGGTTCCTATTGACTTCATCCAAGGAAAAAGTTAAGGCCAATGGAAACTGGATGTTTTCAGTTGGTGATCTGTAAGAGGGAATGATGGTTATTATGGACAGAGACCTAAAAATAATCTTTTGTAGTCAATAGAAGGACTATTCAAAACTGGATGGTATTCCCAACCACACCCAAATACTGAATCAAATGTCCTGTGCTGTGAAGTTGAAATGACATAATAAGCTGGATGTGGTAATATTTTATTGTGTTGAAATGTAGTAATATTTTATTTGTATGTTAGTAAATAAAGTTTGGCTGTAGATCAATGAGAATAGCAAGCCATTTTAAGTAAACACAAAAGTCAGGTGGTGGTAGCACATGCCTTAATCTGATCACTTGGCAGGCAGGGTCTTTCTGTGTTTACGGCCATATTAGGGAACAAAAACCAGGCATGGTGACACGTGCTTTTAATCCCACTACCATCCATAGAGACCTAGAGGTCTGAACAGACAGACAGTGACAAGGAAGTGAGGCAGCTAGGCTAAGACCCAATGAGGGGAGAAAACAGCAAGGTAATAAAGGTGCAGGAAAACAGGAAGTAGCACACACTTTGGAAGCTGTTGCATGGTGAGGGGTGAGGTTAGGTTAGCTGGACACAGCTAGAGCTGCAAGGGGACAGAGCTGCAAGTGACTGGACTGCTTTTGGGGTTACTGACTCCGTGGCTCAGGCCTGGTGTGGCTCAGGCTGGAGCATGAGGTTAGAATTTTGTTATTTTTTTTCTCCTGGTGTGTAATAGCCCACCCCCTCTCTCTTTTAATTCCAATTTTGGACTACCAGAAGACTAGGTAGCTGCTTTTAAATTCCCTTGGACTTCTACTCTTCTAAGCAGACTTGGTAAGTCATTAAGATATCTTAAAAAGAGAAATTAGTTAAAAGAGATTTTTTACCATATTAAAAATATGTGAAACATTTTTTACAATGGAACAAAACTGGTCTTTTTTAAATAACACATTAGGTAGTCTAAAAATGGAACAATTAAATGAGAGGATAATTATTGTTGATGGGATGTATATAATATCAATTATGAGTGTTATTTTTTAATCATTTTTATTATAGTATTAAAAAGGTTGTGCAATTTAAGTGCCAAGTTAAAAGCTTTAGAAAAATTTGTAAAATGATTTATACAGAAATTCAGACCCAGAGAAAAGAATTTAATGGTGAAATTATTTCAGGATTGACTTATATGGTTACAGAGAGACAGCCTATTTTCAAACAATCAAACTTAATCTCTCTGGTAAACTTTCAGGAATTATCTGCTTAAGGGCATGTACAAGCTAACTGGACTCCAGTGGAAATGGGAGATTTCAGGAGATTTAAGAAAGCTATAGTATCATATGGCATGCATTCTCCAATTGTAAAGCAAAAGTTAAACTCATGGCAAACTTGTATAGGATTACTCCTCAGCACTGGAAAGAATTGTTAATAGCTGTCCTAGAGTCTGGAGCACAATTACAGTGGAAAACATGGTTAAAGGAGCACGCTAAGACAATAAAAGGCTGATATAGAACAAGAGGTGCGAAAATTTACCAGGATCAACTGCTTAGATAAGGCAAATATGCTGATATACAAAGATACTGTTTATATGATAACCAAACCTTAATTCCATGTCACATGGCAGCAATGAATGCATGGAATAGAAATGAGGAAACAGGAAAAAATTGAATCATTCACAAAAGGTATATTGGGTCCCAGAGAATACTTCACAGATTTGTTACAAAGGCTATCCTCAGCAGTATATAGAATAATACCAAATTCAGAAGCTGAACAGAAAATAATTGAATGTTTGGCTTTTGAGAAAGCAAATGAAAAATACAAAAGAATAATCAGGCCATTAAGAGCAAGATCAGCACACTTGGAGGATTTGATCAGGAACAAAATTAATATTGAATCTCATGACCATAATGAAATGTGGATAGAAGTGATCAAAACCTTTGAGGAAAAAAGGTCAGAAATTTTGGTTGTGGTAAACAAAATTATTAGAAAAGCAAGTGTAAACCAGGTGTTCCTAGAAAGAATGTTTATTCAAAGAATAAGGGCAAAAGAATGTCCCTTCATTCTGGATTATGCAGAAGGTGTGGTAAGGGTAAACATGAGACCAACAAATGTAGATCAACAAGAGACAGACAATACAATCCTTTGCTTCTGCCTTCAGGAAACTCCGAGAGGGGCCTCATGTAGGCTCCCACAGCAAATTAAGTTCAGACCTTTATGCCATCATAAAAGAAACCCCTACTCAGAGCAATTAAATAACCAAATGACTATTGAAATAAACCAGACTGCTTGGGAGGATAGAACAACTACAGCAGAAAAATAGAAAATTCAGGAGGAACCATAAAGCATATTTTGGACAAACTTCTCTAAATGAACAAAGAAGAAAATTAAAAATATGAATAAATTATGGTTTCTTGGAAGAATTAGTAGACATGGGTATGGATGTGACAATAATTGCACCAGAATTTTGGCATCTAAATTGGCCTCTGCAGGAGGTAAATGTTCAGTAGTTAGGGAATAGAACATTATCTCAAGTGAAACAGAGTGCAAGATGGCTCAAATGTGAAGGACCAGCAGGACAGAGAGGAAAATGAAAGCCATATGTGGCTAATATAGCTATGAACTTATGGAGCTCTGATCTATTACAACAATGGAATACTCATTACCATTCCTCCAACCTCAGAAACAAATCATAAACTAACACATGTTTCTGACAGAGATATTAGAAGGTATTATTCTAAAGAGCTATCAATAGCCATCCAGATTGTACAAGAACAGGGCACAACAAGTAATGATCCTCCAAAGACACCAACAGCTCTGCCTTTAAAATGGTTAAAAGACAAGCCTATAGAGGTTCAGCAATGACCTATAACAACAGAGAAACTGCAGGCTTTAGAAGAGCTGATACAAGAGCAGTTAAATGTCCAGTATATTGAAGAATCAACCAGCTCTTGGAATTCTCCTGTATTTTTATTAAAAGAAATCTGGTAAATGGAGAATGGTAACAGATATAAGAGCAATTAACAAAGTAATTCAACCAATTGGCTCTCTACAATCTGGAATTCCTTTGCCTACTCTGTTACCTGAAGGATGGCTACTTATAGTTATCAGTTTAAAAACTGTTGCTTTTCACTAATTTGGCTATTTGTCCCTGTGCTTTTTCCAATCATGGTCTCAACAATTCTTGCTCAATCAACCCCTCCTCTTTCTCACTGACTGGACTCCTGGAGCTCCACCTGGAGAATGGCTGTGGATCTCTGCATCTGCTTGCATCAGTCATTGGATGAGAGTTCTAGCATGACACATGAACTATGAAACAATTGCTAAAGAGCCCCCAACTGGATCAGGCCCTCTGGATAATTTAGACAGTTGATTAACTTGAACGGTTTGTGAGGCCGATAGGTAATGGAACCAGAACCTCTCCTTATTGCATGAGCTGGCTGTTTGGAACCTGGGACCTATGCAGGGACACTTTGCTCAGCCTGAGTGAAGGGAGAAGGGGACTGGACCTGCCTTGATTGAATCTAACAGGTTAAATTGAATCCCCAGGGGAGTCCTTGGCCTGGAGTAGATGGGAATGGAGGGGGGCAGGGGGAGGAGGAGAGGGGGGCTGGAGGAGGAAGGACAGGGGAATCCATGACTGATGTGTAAAATTAAATTAAATTATAAAATATATTTTTAAAAAAGATTGTTGCTTTTCAAAACCCTTACAAGAAAAAGACAGAGAATGATTCAGCTTTGCTGTGCCTACATATAATAATTCTCAACCAGCAAAGAGATATCAATAGAGGGTTCTCCCACAGGGAATGTGGAATAGCCCAACCCTGTGCCAATACTGTGTACAACAGCCACTGGAATTAATACATAAACAGATTCCTAAGTCTATAATTTATCATTACATGGACAATATTTTACTGGATGATTCAATGCTGATAATTTAGAAAGAATGTTTGAAGAAATAAAGAAAACATTGCCTTGTTGGGGTTACAAATTGCTCCTGAAAAGATACAAAGAGGATATTCTTTTAAATATTTATGATAAAAAATAGGTCTTCAAAAATGAGATCCCAAAGGGTACAAATGAGGAGAGATCAATTGCAGACCACTAATGACTTTCAAACTTTATTTGAAAATATTTCCTATCTGTGAACCATTGTTGGGGTAAAACATGATGAACTGAGTAATTTCTTCAAAACCTTAGACAGTGACAAAGATTTAAATAGTCCAAAGGATTTATTAGCTGAAGCTGAGACAGAGTTTGCCTTGGTGGAAAAGAAAGTACAGGAAGGACATGTGGATCTTGTGCATCCAAAGCTTGATTGTGTTTTGGTTATTTTACCCTCCAAGTATTGTGTTACAAGAATTTTAATGCAGAGGGAAGATATATCGGAATGATAATTCTACCAAATAAAAAACAGAAAAAAATTTAAAACTTATGTGGAAAATATCTCTGACTTGATTTTAAAAGGAAAACTGAGACTTCATCAATTAGCAGGAATAGTCCCAGCAAAAATAGTCATACCTTTAAGTAAGGAGGACATTGACAAATTATGGGCAGACAGTGAAACTTGGTAAAGAGGTTGAAATAATTTTTTGGGAGTGATTAATAGCAAATATCCCAACAGTGATAGAATTCAACTTATAAAGAGAGCTGATAGGATTTTGCCTCACATTGTACAGGAAACACCCAAATGTAAAATTCATAAATTTTATACAGATGCAAAGAAACAAGGAAAGGCAGGTTACAAATCAGCAAAATTTAACTAAAGTGGTTCAAAGTGCTTAAAATTGTGTACTAAAATCGAAATTGTGAACTATTCTGTCGATTTAATGGATTTTTCAGAACCTCTCAACAGAGTTACTGACTCTCAATATGCTGAAAGAGTTGTGTTACATATTGAGACTACAGAATTTATCTCTGATGAGTCAGAATTAACTTCACTATTTATTCAGTTATAAGATGTAATGAGGAATAGGAGTCATCCTTTATATATATAGCTAACATCTGATCCCATATGGGTCTGCCAGGCCCTCTAACA